CAAGCGGGCTGCCCAGCCACCCCGCTGCACCCCAGCCAAGAGGCCTGCAGGCTCTGCCTAGCTCAGGGACCCTACTCCCAGGAGAAGCAGAAGATCTTCTGGGAAAAGGGGCCACTTGGCAAATGCCAGCCCCTTCCAGGGGTGAGGAACCAGGAGCAGGACAGCTCTGGAAGTTTTATCCTGGTGAGTCTCAAGCAGATCACATGCTCCCTAAAGAGGCATTTCAAGCAGCACCTCCTTGGTGGGGGGTGGGGGGGAAGAAACACAGTTAAAAATACAAACAACTGCATTAAAAAAATAAAACCAAATCCAGCAGATTAAAAACACAAAAAACAACCTAAAAGAACCAACTGAGAGAGAGGCTGGGGGGATGCGGCTAGAGGGCTGAGCCTTCACCCGCATCCCAAGGGGTCTCAGGCAGAAGGCAGCTGCACGCAAGGCAGGTCCTGGTGCCATGCCAGGGCGAGGTCCCATGTTACCCTCAGAGGGTATGTCCCCCCGGGAGGACAGAGCGGCAGCATGAGAAGGAAGCGGGGTTGGCAGCCTCCCTTACCGCACCCTCCGGCCGCACAGGCCTGTCTCCGCTGAAAGCCCATCAGCGCTGGCTCCTTGTGTTGCTGCTCCGGGGGCAATGCCCCTCTGCAGCACGGGCTGCGGGCAGAGGGCAGGGAAAGCAGCTCAGCACAGCTGGCACGGAGAGGCGAGGCAGAAATGTGGCATCATCACTGCTACCTCCTCTGCTCTGATCCTGGAGCGAGAGCAACTGCTGTCTGGCAGTGTCCCAAGCCAGATCGGAGAAAGGAAGCTGTTACATGTACAACCGACCCCAAACTCCCACCCTGCCTCAATGCACACAATCCTCCCCAGCAGAAGGACAGGGAATCGGAGGACTCGGAGAGCTGACTCTCACCTTCAAGGAGCAGATGTGGCCAGAGCTTCCTAGTACCCAGCTGATGAGCAGCAAGTGCTGCCCTCCCCGAAAGGCCCTGCCGGGAAGGGCACAGGGATGGGCAGCACAGTCTGGTCTAGCACCAACAACTGCTCAGAAAAGGTCCCTGTTCTGCTGCAGGACAGGCAGGAGCAGCCGCCTTCCCCCAAGCAGAGGCGAGTCCGATCAGCACTTGGAGCAGACCCGGATGATGGAAGATGCCCCTTTTCCCAGCCTGGCACTACTGCATGGAAAGAAACAGATCACATTGAGACAGTGCTCCAGGTGTCTTGATGGTCCTCCTCATCTCCAGCCCGCATGGCTCAGTCTGATGAAGGCCATGCATGTAAATAAACCCACGATCTGCTCCTCTGCTGCAATGTGCTCATGTGGCTGCCACCGGCTCTGGCTGCTCCATCTCGTCTTCGTAGTCCGAGATGTAGGACTCCATGCTCTGCTTGGCCAGCAGCTCCCTGCGGGCTTGAAGCCGCGCACAGCGGGGACAGCGGGCAGACTTGAAGCAGGATTTGTGGTAGCAGGCTTTGCACTCTGTGGGGGAAAGAGGGAGAGTCTGGCTGAGAGCTGGCAGAGGCTAACACGGGCTGCCTGACGCTCCACACCCCGGGAAGGGGTGCTCCAGGCTTGTCCAGGAGGACATTTCAAACCAAAGCTGTGGCAGAACAAGCACCAGATGCAGGAGTCCAGCAATGTTCTGGAAGCAGCAGGAAGTCATGCTGCAGGATCCCTGCACTGGCTTGAAAAGCCTTTGGGAGAACAAGCGGGAGGTTTCCTGCTCTGCACAAAGTGCCTCCCTAAAATTTTGTGATTCTGCCTCAAGTTTTCCCTGGCACTGCACCTGCCAAACTATGTTGTCAGGAGCCATTTCAAGACAGTTCAGAGGTTGGCCCCAAGCTGTCAGTACTCGGCATTATCGAGGATGACTCCTGAAGGGGCCTGGGGATTTCCTGGCAGGCAGGAAGGGCAGAGACAAAGCTTTCTCTGCTATACAAGGTCAGCTCCCACCACCCAAGCTGGGAAGGGGAGCTGTGTGCAGGCTGCAGCCTGTCCTGTAACCAGAGCAGAAGGGAAGCCGGGACTCCCAGACACTTGCTAGCCGCAGTCACAACCCGACTGCCTGCTGCTCTACCTCCCGCTGGCACAAATGCCACTCAAACTGGAGGCAGACCCTGGTGGCCCCGGGGTCCATCCGCTCTCTGTTTCTCTCCAGCATCTCACCTTCACATGTCCTGCACTTGTTGAGCTCAAAAGGGAAGATGATGTCACCCTCATTCTGGCAGAACTCGCAGATGAAGCCTTTGGCTTGGCACAGCTGGAAGGAGAAAAGGTGAGGAAAAAACAGCCCTTCCCCAGCATGGAGCACAGCAAGATGATGGGGATGGAGGGAGAGCCAAAATAGGGTAAGAAACATCCCACATGTTCTGGTTAGCAGCTCTGTGGAGCAGGCAGGAACAGCTAGCATCGAATCAGATAATTTGGTGGCTACCCTGCATGTCAAACTCCTCCCAATGAAGCAAAGCCTGCTCCAGAGGGTGCTCCCGGGGATGCAAAGCTGTGCAGGAAGCAGGTGAGGAGGCCTTACCATGCACTTCTCCACATGCAGGCTGCCTGCCTTCAGGAGCTCTGTCAGGCGAGGCACCAGGTCTCCCTTCTTTGTGGCGCTGAGGTCACTCAGTGAGTAGAGGTGCAAATCCTCTGTCAAGTGGCCAGGGACCGCATCAAAGGCATCTAACAGGCTGCAGGACAGAGAAACCAGAGCTCAGAGCAAAGAGATTCCACTAAGTCCCCTCCCTCCACTCCCCTCTCCCACTGTTGCTCATTGCACAGATCCTCAGTGCAAATTGCCACAGGACAGATCCAGGACAGCAAAACAGCTTCACCTCACAGCCTGGGACTCACTCTTTAGCTAGACGGCAGGTCTTAAACATGTTCTTCATGTGGAAAAGCTGGATTCGCAGCAGCTGGAAAGGAAGGGGGGATACAAAAATGAGTAAACAGAGCACAGTCCTTGGCCAAGCAGGTTTGCCCTGTTTCCTGTGCTGCCGAAACAACTGCTGCTACTCAGCTGCTGCTCCTTTGCTACCCAAGTGTTTACACCACACAGGGCAAAGTGAGCATAACCATTGTCATGTGTGCCAGGAGATAAACCAAAGCCCAGCTCGACGCTATGCAGAAATTCCTTCTGAAATTCCTGTGTTACTGGAGATGGAGAACAAGATGTGAATGGAAACCCACGGCGCTGGGTTTTTAAGCCTCAAAACCAGAAATATCTGCTTCTCCCCAGCTTCCCTGGAACACGGTTTACAATTGTCAGCCACCCACCTCACCCAAACCGCACTCAGGAAAGCATGGGACGGGTCTTACCCACACTTGGTTGAGAGATTTCACTTTCCGGTACAAGGCAGGATTGATATCCTGCACGTTGAAGAGTGGGTCACTCCAAATTTTGCTCAGCAGATCTTTGGAGAAGTTGCTCACGTAGTACTTGCTGAAGTCCCACTTGCGCAGGATGCGGCTGGGGATGACCATCTGGGCATTCTCATGGCAGCACTGGCAGAAATACTTCCCCAGGTACTCACAGTACCGTAGCCGCTTGATGTAATCTGGCCAAACCCAAGGAAATGGGGAGGTCAGCCGAGGCACTGGCGCTACCCAACCACATACTGGACTCCCAACATCACTCAGCAACTCCAACAAGCAATGCAGTCTGCCTTGCCAGAACCTCCTCTAGCCCCAGAGTGCTCAGCACTGGCCTCTGCAAGAACCTCTACTGCCTGCAAAAGCTTTTGGGACCACAGCCTGGTCCCGTGCAGCCACACCTACCTACACATTTGGGAAAGATAGTTGGTCAAAGAGCCATACCCACAGCAGGACCTGCCGGGAGCTTTAGGAGGCCAACAGAACTCTGCCTTAGAAAAGCCACCACCTGGAACACCCTCTGAAGGGCAGGCTGGCTGCTCTTTGCCTCCACCAGCCCCGTGACCTTCTGGGGAAGGTGACTCCTGTGCAGGTGCTGTACACTGACGTGCAGGCAGAGCTGGCAAAGGCAGCACACTGTTCCCCCAGTGACCTTGTGCTCTCTGCCACCACCCACCCACTCTGCATCTTCCTACTTGTTCACCAGTTCTTCCCCTCTCTCCAGCTACAGGGTCCCAGCACTCACCAGGTTCCGTCCGGATGCCACAGCCCGCACACCGGTAATTCTGCTTGGCCACAGCCACCTTCCTCCTGCCCAAAGACAGAAGACGACTCACATGAGTCCTGCCCTGATGGCACCTGGCACCAGAGGACAGGCACTGGCACAGGGCTGGATGGCAGAGATGGCCAAATGCTGGGCCACTACAGCATGGACAACAAGCCAAGGGGAAAAGCCCTGTTGTGCCCCGGTGCACACACCGCAGGCACTGGCTCCATCTCACAGCAACAGCTGCCACTGGTGACCACCATGGATTTACCAGGCTCAGAGCAAGGAATCCCCAGCGCGCAAGTGGGAGGGAGAGGATAGAAAAGGGTTGGACAGGGCAGGCCCCGGGAGAGTCCTTGGCCGCACAGGTCCTTACGTTGGGGCTGGGTGAACGTTGAAGATGATCTGTGGTCGCGGTGGGGCCCACTCCAGGTTTCCGCGCACCCGAATCCTCAGCTTGTAGATGTCGGCATGTTCTCCGTCGTCAGGAGAGATGGGCAGAGAGTTGGGGATGGGCAGGAGCTGGGAGAGGCAGGCAAGAGGGTTAGACCCCTGCCTAGTGCCGCAAAGGCAATGCATCTGGCTGGCTTGCCTTGAAACCTGCAACCGCAGCCCTCTGGAAAACGCCCAGGCACCAAGCTGCTGCTCCAGATAAATGGAGGCTGAAGTAGGGATGTCCCCAGGGATCTGGGCACTCTGCTGTAGCAGGCTCCAGTGGCAGAGCCCCATTTGGCTGCACCCACCTCCAGAGCTCAGACAAAACCCCTCCTCCAGCTCCACAAAGGGATCACCGGGACTAGCAAAGCCCCTGGGCAGGGGGCTGAAGCTGGGGTTTGGGGAACTTCAAATGCAATTGGTGACTGGGAACTCACACCCCTACCTTCTGCGGGGCGTCGTGCTCAGGGACCAGCCACTCCAATTCAGAGGCAGCCGGGAGCTGCATGCCCTCAAACTGCTTCAGCAAGCCCATGGCCACAGCCTCCGCCGAGTTGGAATTGAGGAAGGAGTGGGATCTAGACAGCAAAGGGAGCAGTTAGTACTGGGTCTCACAGCTATGCCCCCTCACAACCCCTGATGCCAGTCCCAGCTCAGGCCAAAGATTCTCCCTTCAACTCCGATACCTTATTTCTGCACCACTACATGGACATTGATATACCTGATTGATTTCTGTCTTTGCAGCTGCCCCAAGCAAAGCTGGCTCATGGCATGACAATAACTGTTTAGAGACACAAGCAAAACACCTCACTCAGCAAAACCTGTGCCTGTTTGCAGGGGAAGCTGCAAAGTGAGAGCTGGTGTCTGTATGAGCCACAAGTAACTGCTCTACCAGTACAAACCTACCCAAGAAGCTGCCAAGCACAGACACAGCTTTGTATCCCACCCAACGAGCAGAGGAGTCCCTGCAGCCCAAGGGGTTTTGCTTCCAAAGCATTAACACAGCAGCTCTGCTTAAAACAGGTTGTGATTCACTCCCCCCACAGCCCCCACCTCTCCACCCCAGGGCAGTACTGGGGAAGGACTGAGCACTTCAAGCTACTGCTGCACTGCACAGAGTTTGAGCATCACCGTGTACCAGCAGTTCCACGTCTGGGCCACAGCACAGCAGCGAGGGGTGGAGAGAAGGCAGCAGCACCACTTAGTCTAACAGGCCGTCCCAGCTGAGGAGGAGGCAGGGGAAGCTCAGAGCCAGCAGCCAGTCCAGGCGCTCCAAGATGTGCCAGGTCCTCTCCCCAGCCTCTTACCTACTGGGAGGTACGGAGATCTCTCCTGACACCAATTCACATCGTATCTACCTCATGCTCATGTAACATGTGAGTGATTCTGATCATCCCAGGTGCTGCTTCCCAAATTTAAGACTGGGACCCAGCTGGAGTGATGTCCACTCCCATGCAAAACAGCAGCCGGTGGACGTGGAGGAGCAGAGTTGTTGCAGGAAGGGGAACTTGGTACCAAGATATCTCGCCACAAGTCGAAGACGTACATGCACTCCGAGGAGACAAAGGACTTCCTGCTGGAGTCTGGGTTCTTCTTGATGTCTGCATCTGAATCACAAACAGACAAGGTGGAGCAGATGGGGCAGGGCAGGGACACACACTCATTTCAAACCAAAGCTTCACTGTAAAACTCATCAAGCTGTTCAAAAGCATGTGAACTACAGCATCAACTTCTACCAAGGGCACTGAGCAGCAAGGAGAGGTGCAGTCTAATCAGTCGGCTGTCGGAGTTACAAGGGAAGGACACGGTGGGATGCTGTGAAAATGGTGAGCCTGGGGTTTGGGGAAGACAAGTGGCTGCAGGTACAGGTCACAGAGCAAGTCCTAGTGGTGACATGGCCTGAAACAGTACGCACACAGGAGCTAGGAGGGCTGGACAGAAAGTTAGAAAGGTTTAGTAGCTCTCTACACATAGTACAGATGCTGCAAGGGATTAGCAATGGGATGCAGAGCCTTCCTCTCCACTTGACCACAACGTGTAAGGTCAGAGGGGGGCCGTGCCACAGCTTCACAGCGACCACAGAGGCTGGCAGGCTAAGCCCAGCACCCCAAGACATGTCAGCACCCGTGCAGAGAGTGGGCCAGCAGCCACGGGGGCCAGCCCTCTGCAGAGCCCACAGACCCATCTCTCCAGGAGGGAGGGGTCCAAGGTAAGGTGCAGGACACCGGGCTCCTGCTCCCTCCTTCAGCTCCCCAACAACCTGTTGGTACCAAGCGGTACCCAGCGGTACATTCATCACTAATCTCTTCCTTTCACTCTGGCAGCTTTTGACATTAAATCCCTACAGGGTATTCATCTCAATGGCAGAAGGCCCCTGGGATGGGAGACTTCCCGCAGTACAAGGTTGGCAGAAGCAGGTAGAAATGCTGCTTCGATACAGGGTCCCAGAAAGGGAAGGCAGGTACATGGGGGGAAAGTAGTTCAGGTCAGGACAGAAGAGAGGCCAACGCCACAACCTTCAGCCCAGCAGGTCTTTTTTATACCTCTGGGGAGCTCTAGAAACAGCGTCTGCAGCAACTACACTACCCCAAAACATGCTCGCAGCTCCTCCTGACCCGGTGGCCCAGGTCCTGGCTAAGGGAGGCACGGCTCGAGCTCCCTGCTCCTCCACCCCGAGCAAGTTGGCTACGCACACCCAAAGAGAGTCCATCTGAATCCTGGCCAGGCACCAACCGCACACTCAGGTCCTGGGGATTGCAGCCCAGCTGAGCAGAGAGCCACTCCCCCAGCCATCAGAGTGGGGCTGCCCTGGCAGGAAGGGGAGCAAGTCCCACTCTCACTCATAAATTTACAGACTCATGCCAGTGGAGATCAGCATGGACTCTCCTTGTTTGACATCCGTGGCTAGAAACAGGCACAGGGAAGTATTCTAATGCTAAGGAATCTGCATACTTTCATCATACAAACAGACTTCTAGCTGCAGAAAACAGGGAATTCAGGCAAACACAGACTCCCAACCATGTAGGGTACCAGCCAGACATACCTACCATGCGCTGGTGCCTTTGGCTCAGTGCGGGAAGACCCTGCATGGTCCTAGACTAGGACGAACATGAGCAAACAGTGGGGCACACGCAGCACAGGACGGGTCAAGCATTACAGGGAGGCAGAGCAGGCACGCCCAGGCACTGGGATCCCATCTCAGGGATGGCAGAGAGCGCCAGATCTGACCATAGGCTCCTGTGGGGGCTAGCACTGCGATCCAGCCACCACTCCCTCCCCAACCTTAATCACAGAATCATAGAATGGTTTGAGTTGGAAGGAACCTTAAAGACCATCTAGTTCCAAACCCCCTGCCATGGGCAGGGACACCTTCCACTAGACCAGGTTGCTCAAAGCCTCATCCAGCCTGGCCTTGAAGACATCCAGGGATGGGGCATCCACAGCTTCTCTGGGCAACCTGTCCCAGTGGCTCATCAACCTCTACATGAAGAATTTTATCCTGATATCTAATCTAAACTGCAGACACTTCCCAAAAGCCCCCAGTTAGCTGCCCAAAATGCCTCCACTGCCAATGCTTTCACCAGGTAGGATAGTCCCCAGGAGGCTCCTGAAGAGCCCCCAAACCCAAGGATGTCACACCAGGCCCCATATACCAGCTTCAGGCCAGGAGGAGCCCCCCTGGATTAAACCCCTGGGCTGTACACACAGGACACAGTGGGGCCGACGGGGAAGCTCTGAGCACCAGCAGCACTGGCAGGAGCAACGTGCTGGTGCTGAACGCCTGCCGGGAGGGATCAGCAGCAGTCCGTGTAGGCTCTTCCCTTGATAATGCAAACAGGGATCACAGGAGGGTTATTTAAATCCCACCAGCAGACCAGAAGGATTATCTAGAAGTACTGTAAAAAATAAAAACGCTAAGCAAGACCTAGCTGCCCATGATCCCGGTGCCTTGGGCCTCCAGGGCAAACAAACTGTGCACTGTCTACTTTCACTACTTCTCCCTCCAGGACTTCTTTCCTTCTCCAAGTCAAGTCTGAGCAGGATGGGAAGTGTTGGCCATGGTTCAGATCAGAGCTATGGCATGCCAGCTCTGACAAGTGAAGCAGGATAACACTCCCCAAAACTCCTGGGACACAGACCTGGTCCCACACTGTAGCAAATTCTGCTCTCATCCAGCCCAGGCTCAGCTTTCAGCAGCTACAGAGCCACAAAGCTGTGCCATCGCCCCACCAAGGCCTACCCCAGGCAAGACAGGTCTTCACCACAGCAGGCACATTTGGTATCTCCAAAATACTGCACGGCAAAACACCCCAGGGGATGGAGCCCACGGCAGAGCTCCTCCACCTCCTCTCCGCTCCATCCTGATGTATCATCCTGCCATGGCTTTTCTTGCTGATGTCTGGATGATAATGTCTATGGTTCCCAAATCAGGCAGATTTCTGAGACGTGTGCACGTGCACAGACACACACACCTTGCACACACACACGCACGCGTGCCGCAGGGCAGCACTGCGGGGTACTACCTGAGAACAAGGAAGCCATTGACACTGAGAGGCCGTTCTTGGACATTTGAATCAGGTTAGATCCATCGTTACCATCTGTATAACACGGTGATGACAAAACAGTTGACTTCAGTGCTTTGGCCAGGCCAAAGAGAAAGGGCATCATACAAGAGCAGCACTCGCATGAGAGAAGCCCAGAACTGAATTCACACACCACTCCGTGGGCTTCAAAACTGAGTCCAAAATCTAGCCCTCAGGGGTTGAAATAAAGGCTTTGCTGTCAACAGTCAAGAGACACGACGTTTATAGCTGGACACTGGACTGCTCCATCATCTTTTTAAAGTCAGTGAGATGGAGGTACTGCTGAGAATAAGTCATTCATCCGGGAGAATGAAAAGGCTCTGAAGGGACACCCAGGGACCCAGACAGGTCTCCTGTGGGCAATAAGCTCAGCCACCCAAGCTGCCAGGAGCAGAGACTACAGATATTACTGGTCAGGATATGACCAGCGCCCACCACTGCCACCCAAGAGAGTGGTCAGAGCTGCGGGTCCTCCTGCCTGGGGAGGAGGAGAGCAGGATGGCAGCTCTCCGATTTCTCTCCAGCTGTGGCAGCCACTGTGTGGATCTGGCAATGAAATGGAAACCACCTACACCAGCCAGAAGCACTGAATGCTGGAGGGTTACAGAAGATCTCAAAGAAAAGCCATGCCACCACATGAGGGAAACTTTGCTCTGCTCATGCTCAGAATTCAGCAATTTGTTTGGCAAAAGCCACCTTGAAGGCCAGAGGGATTTTTTGGACTGACCTCAACACAACCACACCAAGGAGAAGTGTGTCTCCCAGCACAGCCATTCCTTCCTACCTCGGATCTCGTACTCCTCCACATCCTCCGCAGAGCCAGAGTCAGATAGCCGCATGGAGCCGTGGGAGCTGAACTGGGACCCACTGTCTGTTGCCATAAGACCTGGGAGAAATGCAACACAGACAGGCCATCAATGGAAGCATCTGAAGGGTCACTGACAGCTAAGGGAGATGTTGATAGTCAGGTATGGCCAGGCAGGGAGGGATGAAGGTTGACGATGGAAAACACTATGGGTTCAAATCAAAATTACATTCCAGAAGTCAGCGTGAGCAGCACACAAGTGTCATCAATGTACAGTATCAGTCCTGTTATGGTCTTCAATAGCAGCACAGTTTCACATATCTCTGCAACACCTTAGTAGCAACTGGATTATTTCCCACAAACAGGCAGGAAGGCAGGACACTTTAAGGACAAGCAACGAACAGAAAACCCACATCCCACTAGCTGATAAGCCCAAAAGACATCACCCACTGTCTGAGCCCATCTCCTGGCAGGTAGGGAACATGTGCCTGGTGCGGATCTGCTGGCGCCGAATGCGAATCTTTTGTTTAAGCTCCTGGATCTCCTTGTCGCTGTCTTCCTCCTCTTCCTCCAACTGCCGGCTCATCATGTTGCATTTCATCAGCTCAATGGCAGCGATCAGGGACTCCGAAATGCTGAAGTGGGCATTCTCCTGCAAGGCAAGAGCAAAAGCATTCAAAGCTGTACCATGGAGAAACTAGGAAGACTTGGTAAAATCATGTTTCCCACCTGTGACAGGAAAGATCTTACTACTCACTAAACACAAGGGGCATCCTATGAAGAGGATGTGCAACACATCCACTCTGGGGAGTCAGCACGTGTCCCTAAGGAGCCCTGATGGGTTGCAAAGCTGCTGTGCACATGCTGCCTGGGCAGATCCGGGCTGCCAGACACCACTGGGGAACAAAACCTCGAAGTTCTGTGCACAGCTCTATAGCAGGAAACACTACGGGATTATCTTCCCCACAGAGGGAAGTATCACTGGACCTGCAGTAAGTTATGTTCCCCAATGCACCCAGGCTTCTGCTGCCTTCCTCACCTTCTCCAGGTCTGCACAGCTGCCAAAATCCTGCTCAGAGAGGTAGCTGATGAGGGACTGCCCTTCTGAGGGTCTTCGGAACATCCCTTCCCCTGAGCTCAGGTACTGGCCAGAGTCTAGAAAAGAAGAGACAAAGATAAGGGAGGGACCTGCTGCTATCCCCCTGCAAATGAGCCCTGTCAGTGCCCAACCGGCATCTGGCAAGCAGGTGCCAGGAGACAAGGCCACTGGAGCTGACAGAGGAGCCTGACCGGGAGCGAGCATCCCCGCTGACGCTGGCTGCACTCACCGTACTCCATGTAGAGGGAGCTGGATGTACTCAGTTCACTGCTCTGGGTGGAAGCAGAGACTGGCCCCCTCCCTCCGCCTGGATCAGCGTGGGACTCTGGAAGGGAAGACGACACCAGGCACACATCAGTATCACAGAGGTGCCCAGCCATTGAGCAGGATGAAATGAGAGGGGCTCAGCATCGCATGGGCAGGCACAAATGGATGGGAAGCAAGGAGGGACATCCTTCCTGCTCCGAGCCACAGCTGAGGGCAAGCCCGGGAGGGGACAAAACCAGATGGGCATTTCAGGCAGGAGAGGAGAAGGGGAAAGGATTGAAGCTCACAAGAGCCACAGAGCAGTCAAGTCCTCAGCCTTCCTCTCTTTACCACTAGCAGAGCAGGGGGACATAACAGCCTCCAGAAAGCACCTCTGCCAGTCCCCTTCTTCCTGCTGGAGCATCTCCGAGGAAATAGTTAACCCCCAGGGAAGAGTTAGGAGGCAAGGGGAAACCTGAACAGCCAAGGGATCTGTGGGCCTCCCAGTCCTGCAAAGCAGCCTGGACAACAGCGGAAGGAGGCATCTGAAGGACATGCTCAATGAGAAGCCAGGGTTCCCTGCACACAACTCAGGTGTCTGGGCTGCAGTGCTCAAGGTGACCTACACCGGCCGTGAGCAGGGCCCTGCCCCACACACACACCGTGGTGCGAGTCCCCGCTGGGCTGAGCCGGTGGGGACTGCCAGGAGCTGGAACAGAGGAACACCAGCTGGTGCTCTTCAGAAAGCCATGGCCCCGGAAGGAGCGGCTGGGTGACCGGAGGACTGCTGAAGGAGACTGAAAATACCCTGACTGGAGCGGGACAAGAGCATATGGGTGTGGACATGGGGCAGGGGCTGGCTGACATCCCCACAAACCGAGCACAACAGAAGGGCAACCCCATCCTCTGCACCTCCTACTCCTCTTCGCTCCCAGCTTCATGCCATAGCCCTGACGTGGCTGGAGGCTTCCAAGCTCACCAACATCAGCATCTCCCTGCCAAGACCAGGAAGCGGTAGCTACCAGGATGGGGCTTGAGATCAACCCACCCCACAGGCTGGGTGACAAAGGAGACCCATTGGAATGGGATTAGCTCTAACAGCTAATCGCTGCAACCTGGAAGGGTCTCCTGCAGCCACCTCAAGCCTGCTGAAAACCAGCACAGAAACAACCTCGTGATCACCAGTCCTGGGTGCCCACCACCCCCAGGAAGGAGCCCTCCCAGCCACAGAGCCCTCAGCATCCAGATGTGAGCACGACAAACCCAGTGCTGCTGCTGTTGAGCAGTTGCAGAAGAAAACAATCACTTTTTTTGAGCTGCCAACTCTTTCTGCCTGTGGGGCAGAGAGATGGCAGCACCTTCTGCTTGTGCGGAAACCTGCCCCAAGCCAACAGAAGAGCATCCAGGATTCCTGGCTGTGGGTACCAGCATGGCTGGTTGGGACATAGCTGAACTCAGCCAACATCAAACCTCCCTGTGCTGCAGATTCACTAAAAGAAAAGAAAAATAAGACATTCAAGCCCACGCCTGCCTAGCTGACAGCCCTTATTTGCTAGCTGAAGGATGAAACAACTTCTGGCTCCCAAGGCAGTGGAGTGGAGGGGAGGGCAGGGGATGCAGCTCAGGGACTGGGTGGCCAGTGCTCCCTAATGCCATGCAGGGGAGCTGGGCACCCTTCTAGGTCTGGTCTGCTGCTCCCAAAAAACGAGCTGGGATCTTCAGTCAGGTTGCATGCATAAACCTGACCATCCTCCAAAGCACCAGCTGGGACACAGGGAAGAAAGAAATATTTTTGGGTTTTAAATGGACACTAATGGGTTGATGGAAATCCTGAACTTGATGCAATGATCACTAATGAAGGGCTGTTACACTGGCTCCCAAACCTGCCACTGGATCTTCTATTATAATGGTGATATCCCTGAGGCCTCCTGGGCAGACAGAGGAGTAGGAAGAGCAGCGTTAAGGGAGAGAAAACAGACAGACTGGTTACCACTCAGCAAGGACCTCCACTTCTGCCACGAAGGCAGCAATGGTAGGGCAGACTCCCCCACAGACTGGTCGTCCCCTCACATCCCACTCCTCCCCACCATGCATTCACCCATTCAAGAGCACAGGAGGACCCAGCAGGTTACTGGTAGGATGACTCCTGCCAGAAAGATAAACCCCCATCCAGTGCCCTGCCATGGCCCCATGGCCCAGCTGGGCAAGACCAGCAGGGAAGCAGGACAGCTAATGCTATGGCATCACTGCCATTTTCAAAGTTTTTGGTAAAAGTTGCCAATACCAATAACAGACTGGCCCAGGGAGTTCTGGGAAGCAAGATGTCAGCCCATCACTTCAGCGTGGAGCAGGAAAACTAAGGGCAAAGACCACATTTCCCACCTGCTCGCCCACTGTTCCTCACACCAACCCAGTCCATGGAGCGGCCAGCATCAGCCTCCTGGTACCAGGGACTCCCACACCCTAAAACCATCCCAGAAAATCTGCCCCATTACCATGCAACTTTCCCGAAGCCACGTTGGTGTCGGAGTGCGAGCGCACATGGCTCTTTTTGAGGATGCCCTGTGGAGCTGATGACTGTCCCTCTGAGAAGCTGGACCGGCGCAACAGACTGAGGCCCCTGCTTCCTCCTCCGCTTGCCCCCTGCTCTCCCAGGGATGAGACCGAGTCCAGCTTCTGGGAGCTACTGGAGGAGAAGAGTTTGGAGCTACTGCTCTTGGTGCTGATGGTGCTGGCACTGCTGCACGCCCGGCCCCGGCGCCCCAAGTTCCCGATGGCCAGATACTCTGGCCCGTCGTTGGCATCGCTCTGTGGATCATCCTGACTCCCTGTCCAAGTGTCCTCACTCTGGCTGGTGGTGCTGGAGCTCATCTCGCTGGCCGGAGAGAAGGGGTCTTTGGGTGAGGGAAGGTGGAAGCGGTTGATAGAGCCGGACTGCTCCAGAGGGGACCTGCCCTCACTGAAGGAGGATGACCGGGTGGACGGGCTGTGGTCCTGGGGCTGGCTGGCACTGGAGCTGACAAAGGAGCTCGCTGGTCTCCTGTCTGGACAGAGGCAGGAGCAGAATGTCCCATACCCTGGCACAAGCAAAACACTCTGCACAATAAGCTTGTGGTTTCATGCTGGCACACCCACCCACCATGGGCAAAGGCTGGGGATCTCCCTCCCAGCAAGGGCAGAGATCTCCTCACACCCATCCAGCATAATGAATCCAAGGGCAGAAAAAAAAGGCAAAGTCTTTACGGATCTAACCTGAGCTTCCCAGCCCACCCCTGTTACCTGAGAGGCCACAGGAGGCTGGATGGTGGAGGCTGGAGAAGGACCCAAAGCAGCGCTGCTGCGTGCAGCCTGCAGCAGGGGTATACGGGGAAGCAGGGAGGGCAGTCAGGCTCTGACTCTTGGTCACCGGAGGCGGACCGTCACTCCTCCTGGTAAGCTGAAGAGAGGTGGCATCATCAATAATTCCGCATTTACGGGGCTACACGTCAAGGAAGCAGCAATGGAATGGAATCAACCTGCGAGCGCCTGGTCACCAACCAGCAAAGGATGCAGCAGTGCTGGGGGCAGGAGGATGGGGAGGGAAAAACGCGGCAGCGCAGAAGGGAAGCGGTGTGTTGTTCACAGCTACATGAGAAATTACCACGGTCTCAGCAAAACGATCCAGGCGGCCCAGCGCCCCAGGCAGATGGCTCTCGTGTCCTTCAGCGTCGTGGTCACACGCCTCTCTTGTCCCAGCAGAAGGATCTGACACGCACAGGGATGGCAGTGACGTGCCAGCCAGCTGAAAGAACACAGCCCCCATTTAACGAAGCCTCATTAATTGCCTTCTGCTGGGGAGCTCTGTGCAAAGAAAGCGGACGCTGTTTCCCTGCTCTGGGGAGGAGGCAGCTGGTGGGGGGCTGTTCAGGCGGGGTCACTGGCATCACCAGTGCGACTGAGCACCCAGGTGTCCTGGGGTGCTGCCCAGCCCCTCCCAGGGTGCCTGTCCCTTGTGACAGGGCAGCTCTGCTTGCTGGCCCTGAAGCCTGGGACTGTTGGAGACAGCTTCAGAGGTGTCCCTTAAAAAGAACTGGTTCTCATATTCAGATCCCTGATGCCAGCCAGAAGTGGGGTGCCTCTCTCCAGGCTCCACACAGCCACCTGCCCCACCCCAACCCCTGCCGGGTTTGCGCAGGCAGTGCAGAGACCAGTTCACGGCTCTCCTCCCCTCCTGGAGTAGCTCTTTTTGCTGCTTCCAAGTCCAGCCCCTTGTCCAAGGGCTCTGTGTGCCCTGAATGAGATGTCGCACAAGCAGCCACAGTCAGCCGGCATCTGGAGAGAGCCAGATGGAAAATCCCAGACAACTCACCATGGAGGTGTCGATCTGAGCCAGAAGCCTGGGGTTGTTCTGCTCGACAGCCTCCAGGCACTGCAGCATGGCCGTGACGTGGGCGTCACTGAGCAGGAAGGCAGTGTCTGGGGAGAGAAAACTGCTGCTTGGGGGGGTCCCTCTCACCCATGTGGTTTGACACGACTGTCTGCTCACACGCAAACCACCTTTTCTGCTGCCCCTCCTCACTACCATGTAGCTTTGAAACGCCACCATCTAGATGTTTTCATAGGAAGAAGGAAAAGGCCTGCTTCTCTTTACCTGTGTAGAATTTCCTGATGTACTGCCGGTTGCCCAGGAGCGGTCTCAGCTGTGCCGAGAGGCAGTGGCACTGCAGGCTGTGCTGCAGCCACAGCTGTGCGATGGCCTGGTCCCCCAGGCCCTCTGGGTCAGGCTGGCCGCTCTCCAGCAGGCTGATGAACTGGAAAGAGACACCAATCACAGGTTAAGGCACGCAGAGGCAAGCTGGGGAGCTGGGGTTGTTCCACCACACAGCTTTGGTTTCCCCACCCCAGTAACAGCAGTTTTCCAACACCAGTCACTGTCAGAGGGAAGGACATGCCCCAGCAGCTCCCCAGCCACCAGCGAGGCAAAAGCCCTGGGGGTGAACAGTGCTTCAAAGGTCAGTCAGTGACCAAAGTCCTCTGACAGCCATCAGCATTATGAATTTCTCCTGCATGCTCTCCCACTCGTGTGCCTCACCCCTGACCTGGAGGGACCCCAAGCTCCCAAATCCACGATGGGCAGGTTCTTGCTGAAACATTAGCTTGGAAAGCGAAACACCTCAGCTTGAAGTCACACTTTGTGTACCCCCAGCAGCAGGGTGGACACAGGGACCACCAGTGCTCAGTCCTTTGTTCCCAGCCGCAGTGGGGGCCATGGACATCGGCACGGGGCAGCCTAGAGCATCTCCATGCACCAGCGGTCAGCACAAGCCAGGAACAGGAGAATCAAATGCATGGTCAAGGCACAACCCAGAAATGGGACAGCCCAGACCTTTAGAGATTTGCATGGAGGCGTGAACCCCCCCTGCACACACACAAGTGCCGCTTGTGCCGGTTCCCTTGGTGATGCCTGCTGCACCCAGCCCAGCCGAGCTGGAGACTGGCCTGGGAGAAATAAGCAGTCGATTGTCTCAGCCCAAGCCATGCCGAGTTCCCAGGACGTGGCTTGTACACAAACACACGCTGCTTCAGTCTCCACAAGCCATGGAGCTGCTACACTCATGGCAGGCCAACAGCCATGGTGCTGCTATCCCAGTGGTGAGGCTCACAGCCCTCTCCCCTCCCTTGTGGGCACACAAGGCCACCCCAGAACCCACCTTCTCCAGGTGATGAGCAGAGCCGGGACTCAGCCAGCGAATGTCCTTCACGAACTGCCAGTAATCCTTCTGTCTGCAGCACACCTGCCCGGGACAGGCACGGTTAGAGACCACCACGTCCCAGTTAAATGAAAACACTCCTCATCAGCACCACGCTACCATCAGAGGACAGCCCCTAAACCTGGCAAGATGGGCCAGAAAATAGATGACAGAGGAGCAGCACTGCTTTACAGTGGAGTGATCAAGTCAAAAAACACTGGCTTGATGCAGATAAGTTGTCCACTGCTCCTCCTACAGTGACTTCCCAGTTGTGGTCAGCCCCACGTGACAAGACAACACATTCCCCCCAGCTTCTCTCCCAGCAGGTAAGATCCCAGTCCATCATATTGTGGAGACAGGAGAGGACTGAGGACAGGGATGGGACATGGCATCGAAGGGGTCACATCCCTCCTGCAAAGCAATAAAGATCCTAAAGGCCAACAGCAGGTCTGCCAAGTTCAAGGAGGGGAGTCCTGACACCTCGGCACCGCAGAGTCAGACCCCAGCAAAGGCACACAAGGAGAAACACATTCTACCAGAAGTAGCAGCCATTGTTGTCTTTGATGCCTGCCACCACTGAGGACACCAGCGTGGCTGACCCCAGCAAAGACATCAGCTCTCTGCTGCTGCTGTCTTTCCTGTCTTTGCCTCAGCTGTACTCAGAGAATAAGTTGTTTTTCTCTCAGTTATTCCCATTAGAGGAACTGCAGCAGAATTGCTGTTTATCTCACTACTCTACTGGTTGTAAACACAGCCCCTAAACGTCTCTCTTCACCAAAATGCTTATTATTTTTTGTTTCCTCCCTCTCTGTTTCCTCTTTCACAAGCGTCAGAGGAATGGGTTCTGTTTTGTGGTTTATTTGTTTGGGGGGTTGGTTTGGGCTAGAGAACTAACATGGCAATTTTAGTCCTGTAGATGCAATTGGGGTTTTCTGGACAAACAAAATTCACTCTGAAGTTCAAAAACCTCTTACCCTAGTTTTCTGAACAGGAACATATGGAATTTTTCACTTTTTTTTTTTATTCCTAGTTGTAGGAAAAAAGTCGTTAAGAAAATAAATAAATAAAAGGAAGTGTTTCCCTGGAACAACTGTGAGAAAACTGCTGTTAGGAACCTGTATTTTTACAGCATCCGCTTTGCAGCTCTTATAGTGTGATTGGTGTCACACGTGCCCAAGCAGGGCAGACGTTTCTAAGTAAAAGAGCTACTTTTGCCCATAGTAACAGCATCAAGGAAGGCAACACGCTGTCCTGCTTTGCAGGTCTGACATGAGCTGTCACCAATAGACAGACAAGTGTAAGCCACTTCAGTCTCACTTCCTGAAGCCTATTAATAGCACGTCTATCAGAAGGGAGCACCGCACTCCTCACCTTCTCACTCTGCAGATCTCCCAAAGGCGGCCTGCAATCCGCACCACTTGGAAGGGAGCAGCACCATAACGAGCGCTGACTGCAAACCTAATAAAGCCAGGGAGCAAAGCACCCTGTGATGACTTGCCAGCCTGGGTCTTCCTGGAGGTTTATTAGCTGGGTGCAGCATTGCATAGGTGCGGTTTTCCTGCTCCTGGACCCAGCTGGCCCATGCAGCTGCCTGGGGCTCCTCTGCATCACTCTCTACGTGGCTCTCTGGGTGGCAGAGCCTCGATGGGAAGCCTGTCCCCGGGCATGCCCCTGCAGTCTTGCTTCAACTTTCCACTGTAAATTAATTATGGTGGTAATTGCAAGCTTCAGGCCTCAGCACACAACTGGGAAAGAGAAATTCTCCCAGGCAGCCACAGAGGAGGGAATGGCTGGGTGAGCAATTGCAATGAAAGAAAAAAGCCTGGAAAGAGAGATCCCATTCACGCAGAGTGCGGATTCAGCTGCCAGCTCCCGTTATTGACACAGCTAACCAGAAACAGTAAAGATGCGAGGTTTCTCTTGCCAGACCTCACTGGGGAGTTGTCCAAGCGCACACGATACGGGGCTGACTCACTGCAAATGCAGCTTCATCGCGTGGCTGTAGCAGGAAGAGAGGAGAGAGGGCCTGGCCTCAGCACAGGGGGCACAGGTACTTGTCAAAGTATGACAAGTCAAAACTATGTCAAAGGGGGATGAGACAGAAAGAACACACACCCAGGTCTCTCTGACAACTACAGCGCTCACCAGGCAAGCTCAGTCCCTGCTTCGATCATTTCCCAAGCTGCTACAAGCATTGTACCCACTCAGTGCTACCAGCGCTGAAGCAAGACACAGCAGGCAGGACCGTCCCAGCTGCTGGTGGCAGGGACCAAAGCTGCTACACAGACAGGGGTGCTGGCAGGACAGAGCCCTACCTTGTCGTGGATTAGCCCGTGGTAGAGGATGCTGTGCATGTCTCTGCAGAGCCGCTCCAAACCGCCATACTTGGACCAGACGTTCGGGTTGCTAGTGGATACCAAGCCTTCCACTGTGGTCTTCAGGTTACCAAGCAGCTTCCAGTGCTCCTTCCTGCAGGGCAACCCAGCAAGTTGCATCAGATATAAAGAAAGAGGAGCTTCACAACAGGACTAAGGTATTGCATTCTCTCCAAGGAGACTCTGGTCAGGCTGAAACCTCTGGTGGTCCAGAAGCTAAGCAAAGGTGAGCTAAAGGACTTTACACAACCCTGTGGTCTCTTGTGCATGGTTTGTGGACAAGAGGCCATATCCTAACAACTCTTGTGATGACTGGCAGCCACCACCAATGCAGTCTCAGGAGACAGCCAGAACAAAGACTGATGGCTCCTGCAATACACCACTTGCTTAGTATGGGCCAGCAAAGCTGGAGGATCTTTCCAGCCAGCCTCTTGCTTCACTCGCACGCTCCATCAGGGACTGTGGGGAGCAGCAGCCCACCAGGAGCACAGCAGCTGTAAGCCAACCACATCTAACAGACACCGGCCATGCTGCACACGCATTTACAGAGAGCAGCACTCCCCCCAGCAACACGCACTGCATCGAGCACTCAGCACCATGGGGATGCCCCACTCCGAGTTCGGTAACTCTTCATCTGCATCTCCACCTGGACAGCTGCTTTCTGGCCCCAGAGCTGCTGCAGGCGCAAGCTGACTCTTGCAAAAGCGTTCACCGTGTCTGGACAGATTAGCAAACTGCAAACCACAGGTCTACTCCAGAGCTTGCACAGCATCTCTCATCAATACCAACCCCCTTGGCTGCCCTATGTACAGCAAGGAATCACCATCAGATAAAGCAGGAGGGACAGCGCAGAGAGGTAACCTCATTTGCCTATGCAAAAGCAACTTTGGGGAAGGAAGCTTCGGATGAGTGAGTCCCCGCTCAAGCTGCTTGACAGTGTTGCCAAAGGAACAACAGCTGTCAGAAAGGAGCCACCCTCCCAGAAGCAACAAGAATGTTGCAACTTATATTTGGAGGTGTAAATGCCAAAAAAGTGCCTCTGCGGGGTTTGTAACAAAAGCACAGGGGGCGACACCTTAGAATTAAAGTTCAGCCTTTCAACTGGCAAGAATCAAGCCAGTGCTTCAGCTGTTAAGCCCTCTCACTGCCCAAAACAAATCTGATTTCCAGAGCAAAAGAAATGAAAGGGAAAATAATTTTTAAATAAACAACATTATTTAAAACTGCTCATTTTCATCCTTTGTGGATGAATGTGTGGGTGCACACCCCTTGCTGCACAGAGAACATAAAAATAACATAATCCCGATATTTAAAACCAAGCTTTTCTAGTCAGTATTCTCTTTCTGAGATTTGTTTGCTATTGCCAATCTGATTAAGCAAACAAGCAGATCATCAAATATTGGCTCTACTTCAAGCTCCCCATCCATTGCCTTCACGAGGTCTCCCCAGGGAAACCTCACCATGCTCAGTGCTCACCTAAGCTTAAACCCCACAGAAGCCAACCTACTCCACCAGCAAAGCCTGTCACCCTGACAGCACAGGAGCTCTAAAACAGAGCTGCAATGCATGTTTATGCACATGTACATGCTTATGATGTATTCAGACTAACAAGCATGGTCAAGGCTTTATCTTGGGAGAGACTGAAGAAGAAAGCATGGATATAAATCAAAAGCAGCTTCCTGAAGGACATCCAGCATGGGGAGACACAGAAAACTGATCCAGTTCTCAGTTTACGGGCTTTTCCTATCCCTGCACTGAGGAATGCAGACGCTCTTTGACCGGGCACGGGCGATGCCACTCTGCTCCAGAGTGGCATCGCCCGTCCCCGGTCAAAGAGCATCTGCAGCCACTGAGCTCAAAAGTTCTCCAGCTCCTCCCCAAGATATTTCTAACGCTCAGAGTTGGGAAATGCAAGTGAAAGCACAGCCACGCTGCTGATCTTCCAAGTCGGTGAGTCAGGGAAACTCCCTCCCATGTTATTTCATGCTATAAAAAGCAGGCAATGCGCAAGGATGCAGGGGTAGGACACGCACAGCTGTGCCTTACCAAATGACCTGTCTCATTAAAGGGGGAGTTGTGCATGTCCCCAGAGGTAGGAAACCAGGATCCAACAGACTGGAGTCACAGCTACCTCCTAGCACAGGGAGACTAAGGTTAAGAAATCCTCTAACAAAATAACCTCAAAATATTAAAACATTGAAATCAGAAGCACACACGGAACAATCAGTCCAATGAAAACACCTTTGCAGAGGTGATTCAGAAGCTACCAAAAGTGAATTAAAACCCTGTAAGACAGTAAGGATCCCGTGGGACTTGTGGTCCCAAAGCAATTCACCAGTTGGATGCACAAGACCCTACTCATACCCAAACCCCTGCTGTTTCTTGGGCTGGAACATGGTCCATGCAGAAAAGCACACAGTGACATAAGGTTGAAGAAATTCAGACCCTTTAGCTGGCTGCAGGTGGCAGGGACATCGAGGGACACCACAGCTAACCACATCTCAGCTTTGACCAGACTCGTGGGTTAACCCTGAATTAGTGGCAGGGTTTGCTCCCCTCCCATTGATGGAGCCTGAGCCTGGGCTGCCAGGAGGGATGGCCGAAGCCTGATGCCCTCAAGTTCCTTGTTTCGGCAGGTGTTCGGAGCAACATTAAGAAATCTGCTTGGTCTCTGAATAAAGAGAATTCGCCATTGCTTGTTCTAAATAAAGCCCAAGACGGGGTAAGGCCAATTCATATCACATCATGAAAACACCCCGACTTACAGGAAGAGCAAAGTGAGCAACACACCCCAGAGAGGTCACAGTACACGAGCAGAGCTTCCCCTGCAAGAGTCACGCATGGTTCTGCTCTCCTGCTCTAGCAGAGCCTGGTTTCCCCAGACAGAAGGGCCAAGGGTGTTTGCAGGGGCCATCACTGGTGAAGCACCGATGCGACCTCAGCCATATCCCTCTTCTTCCTGAAAGACAATTTCTGATCCAGCTTCCAATTTTAACCACCAGCCCTGTAAACTCAGCACTGGGTCTCCTTTCTTTACCACCACAAACTCTATCTTCACGTACAGCAACATCAGCCTGCTGTCAGGACCTGTCCCAAATACAACTGACGCTTTTGCACTGGGGTGATAAAAGACAGAATCCAGCCTTGGAGCAAGAAAAGGCTTAATGCTGCTGCTGCTGACGACGACAGGGAAATGCTGCTTGTTCTCCCAAGGCTTCCTCAGCCCCTCCATGGAACTTTCCTTGGTCCATGTCAGCAAAGGTGACTCACAGCAGAGGCAGGGAGCCACGCTGCTGAAGCAGGTAAACTTCTCCATTTAAAATAAAACCAATCCCTAGTTACTTTCCAAAACAGAATCACACAGGTAGCTAGTATTAGGGAAAAAAAAATAATGAAGCTCATCTTTCTTACAAACACCATCTGCTGCTCGTGTCCCTGGGCTCCACACGAGGCATCTAGCAATGGCTGCTGGAACTGTCCTCTACCTGGAGGAGCCTCTCGATCCTTCTTAGCACACTAAGAGGTCGGGCTGAGGACGCCGAGGTCACGGAAGGACTTCCACCAGATCTCCAAGGACATTCCCGTGCCAGCTGTCAGTTCCTCTTGCAGATCCAGCACAGCCTGCTCCTGCTTTGCCATCCCTGGGTCTCCTAGACAACCAGCACCCCTCTCCCTGTGCTCCCCTGCCTGTTCCAGCTTGGCACTGCTGGGAAAAGGGATTAAGAGAAAGGCAGTTTCGTGCAATTCATCTGCAGCAGCAGGGAGTGGCTGAGGAGGCAGAGGAAGCCAGAAGAGCTCTGCCAGCCTGGCAGGCCAGCCCTGCAGTGTCCAGGCAGGGAGAGCCGAGCAGGCTGGCTGGGAAACTAAAACGCAGGGCTGCCTGCACCGATGCTGAAAGCTCGCACCGGTATAAAACAACCACAAAAGGCTCCCACAGCAAATGCAGCTCAGACCTGTCGGTTGCCAGAGCATTCTTGCTCTGAACTGGCAAAGGATAAGGGAAGAAAATAGGGATTAAACATGGTTTTTAGCCTTCCCTCCAGCATGGCAAATAGATTTGCCTGCTCATTCTGGGACAGCCTCCCACAGGCAGATGACCACAGCCTGTGGACCCAAGACACTGTCCACTGGGCTTCCATCTGCACAAGACCTGCCTGCGACAAGCACAGGCAGCCAGCGACAGGGAAAACAGCCCCCCATGGCAGCCCACCTCCCTGCAACCAGACGCCCTCCTTCCCCCACTGATCCCAGCACAGGTTCCCCTTAGGGACTCTCTCCCCAGGCCTCGCTGGGGCTGGAGCCGGAGCCGGAGCCGAAGGCAGCAGCTGTTTGCTAACCTGTCCAGCTGACCGCCCGCCCCCCTGCTCCCCCCAGACTGCTGCATCCTTTGCATCACCCACCTGCTGCTCCCAGGCAGCGAGAGCTCAGCTCTCCACCCAGCAGAAGGAGGGCATTAATCTTCCTGCCATGCCGCCGTGGACATGGGTGTCACAGCCCCTGCTCCACGATGCATTCCAGACCTGCTGCTTAGGAGGAGAGATAACAAAACCCAGTGCCAGACCCTCATTTTCCTCTCCAGCAGAAGGATGAACTTCAGCAAAGTAACTTTCTGAGATTCCCATGATCCATGGGAAGATGGATTCTATTGTGATCAGTTACGGCCACGACCTATAGTGAAATGGCACCTCACCAGCAATTAAAATGCTAAACCACTTGCACAAAGGACAATGAAGCTGTGCAAGACTCATGCCAGGATCCTCCCTGGTGCACCAGGGACAGCCAGAACACGCAGGCCCCTCATCCCCGGGGGAGTGCTGGGGCTGGCACCACGTCAGCCCTATTAGTCACACGACGGTAGGGTCTGGTAGTGCAGGAGCTGCACTTGCAAAGGCAAGAAAATGCACGTAGAGGATTCTGGAAAGAAAAAGAAGTGAATGCAATCCTTTTACCTCTGAGAACCCACTGGGGCTGAAGCATGAGCTAAAGAGAGAGAACAGCTCAAACTGTGCAAATCAAAAGGCACCGCAAACATGCACACTGCAGCTTTAAAAGCACCGGTAGCATTTTCCTGGCTGATACTGCTAGCAGGAAT